AAAACAAAAAGAAAAAAAAAAAAATTGTAAACATGATAAATGCATCCTGCCAAACTGCATTCCAGAAATGTTATAATAATTCATACTCCCTCCTTCAATAGTGCAAGACAGTATCCATCTACACACCCCAGAAAGCACTGAACATTCTCAGTTTTTAAATCTAACTAGGTAGTCACATTGGAAAAATGTTGTCATTTTTTTTTGAGTCTGCATTTCTTTTGGCATAAATGAGGCCAATATTAATTAATATTTGATCTGCATTTCTTTTGGTGTAAATGAGGCCAATATTATTAGCCATTTCTCCATCATTATTTAAACAGTCTGTCTTTCCTTTCAATTTGTTGAAACTAGGTGCTCATGTACAGATCCTCCCTGAGCACTCCATGGAAAATCTGGCACAGCATGCTTGCCCACATGCAAACACGTGCACACGTACACATGTACACACACCTCTCTCTCCTCTCCTACCTTGCTTTGTTTTTCTACTCACAGCGTTTAACACTAACTGACAGATTTTCACTTATGTCTGCTTGCTTGTTTATTTGCTGAATTAATTAATGCATTAAATCCATAACAAATACACAGTTTGGAATCTAGGTGATCATCTAACCATTGGCACATCTGCATAATTTTCTTTTTAAGTGTTTTTTAAATCATGACATCTTGAAAGTACATTTTAACAACTAATATGAAGTCTAGGGCAGTAGTTCTCACCTGGAGTTTGGAAAAAAATGATGCCTGGGCTCCAGCCAGCCATCTGGAGTATAGCCTGGGGTGTTCAGGTCTGGGGTGCTCCTGGTCTGGGGTGCTCCTGGTCGTGGGGTGTTCCCAGTCTGGGGCGCTCCTGGTCGTGGGGTGCTCCCCGTCTGCGGCTCTCCAGCAGAGGATGCTCCTCATGGTGTGCTGGATCCCGCACCCCTCACCCCACCCCGCAGGCGAGTTCCTGGAGCTCCCAGATCACGGGGCGATGGGGCACAGCTGGAAATTCCCCAGCTCCTGGAACTCCTGGGTGGCGGCTGGGTGACCTGCAGGGCTTGGATGTGGCGCTCCCCCGCCGCTCCTATGCACCCTTCAGGCTGCCGAGCACTACACACCAGAGTACTGGGAGGAGGGAGGACACCTGCCCGGCAGAGATTCAAGGACTACATTTTTCTTTAAAAAAAAAAAAATTTTTTTTTTTAATGTAGCATAGTTGAGTGTACATATCTGCGGGGTACAGAGTTGAATATTAATACCTGTGTGCAGTATGTGATGCTCAAATAAGAATAATTATTATGTTGAACAATACATAATGTCATCATTCTTTGTGGATTGCACTTAAGGGAAAGGGCCTGAGGAAGGGTAGAGAGGGGAAGGACGGCCGCCAAGAGAGTCCCAAAGACACCAAGGGCTCCCTGAAGTGAGCCCAAGGGCAGAGGGCGTTACTGTCTGGACTACTGGGGTCCAGGCCTTCTGCATCACTTGAGG